ATTAAAATTATATTATATGTATAATATATATATAATATATATATATATATATAATATATATATATATTTATATATATATTATATATATATATAATTTTTTATTATGTTAGATTATTATTTAATAATTAATTATTTGGTTCTATACGATTATTTTTAAATAGGGTTGTTATATAATATTTAATTTAAGTAAAAATATATATTAGTAAAAAAATATTTGTGTTATATCATATTTAAATTGTCACAGTATACTAAATCGTGTTTCAATTGAAATTGTGTTGTAATAGTATCTCAAAATTATTATTTTAATTTATTATATTACAAAGAAAAATTATTATTTTAATTTATTATATTACAAAGAAAGATTATTAATTTAATTCATTATATTAAAGAAAAATTATTATTTTAATTTATTATATTACAAAGAAAAATTATTATTTTAATTTATTATATTACAAAGAAAAATTATTATTTTAATTTATTATATTAAAGAAAATGTATTATCTTAAAACTATTATATTAATGTTTTCGTATTCGTGAAGAAAGGTATAATGTTTCAATCTGTATTTATGATGATATATTGGATCTTTAAAATGATATATTTAAAGGATAAAAATAAATGTATTTTTTCCCCCGTACACCTCCACCTCTTATAAAAGATAACACATTTTACGTTATAGAATGACACATGGTTTGTATAAAAAGTGCTTTAGCCTTATCCCTCGGGAATGTGTTAGGTCCTGACTAATTTATGAGAATCTCGATCGATAGTAAAGGTATCTCTGAAATTTAGGTCGTATAACCAAAATTGAAAGGCAGAGAGAGAGAGAGAGAGAGAGAGAGTTGTGTAGGCGTCTTCCTGCTTAGTTCTCTCTTTACTGCTATTATCTCTGTTATATCGTTTTAGAATTGTACTCCTGTTGTTGATAATTTTTAAACAATTTTTTTTAAAGGATCATTATATAATATTATAGCAAAAAAAAGAATTTAACATTTTGTTAAATTAAAAAAAAAAATTAATTCTTATAGAGTACAATAAAAACAACAACTAAAATTTAGATATTTAGTTAGTTAACATTAACAACGATTACATGTCAAATAATTGAATTATAAATTTAAATATAATAATATAAAGTTAAGTTAGAGTTTATATATATATATATTAATTATCTTTGAAAAAGTACCTACAATTATACAACACATACATTTTCTACAATAATTCAACATAAATTATTTTGTTTAAATGTTAAATCAAATAAAATGACATTCATTTACAAAATGGAAGCAGATAGTACATTTTTTGGGTTTATTTATTTTTTTAGGTTTGACCGTTCGGAGGTTTAAGGAATGGCCAGCAGTACGGAGGACTACGGCTCGGAATTGCAGGAGTTGCAGTGGGGTGGTAGTAGCGGTTCCCATTTTCTACGGAGTAATTCACATTTCTTGAGAAGCGGTAGTGGTAGTGGTTGTTACGAAGCTGAGGATCTCGAACCAAGTAGTAGTAGTAGCAGACACCATGCCGGTCAAAACAGAGGATATTACAGCCCGCCTGGCACCAGTTACACCATCGTCGAGAGACCACCCAGTGCTCCTCACCATCATTCCTCCCATACGACACCTTACAGGCATCGATCTCATGCCACTTCCACCGGTACCAGTGCCATTTCACCGGAACAAGTACTCAGGTTCGATTCATTTCTAATTTCATTACAATTTCACTATTTTTTTTTTCATCATATTTTATTTTTACTTACAATTAGATAACTCATTTTCTTTAAAGTCACACACGTTTATAAAACACAAAACAATCTATTTTTGTTACATTTTATTAACCCTTGTCTATTTAATTACCATTTGTTCGAATATTCTTTGGATTAAAATATTTTGATCGTTGTTAATCAACCAATTATCATTGTTATATTATTTTATTAACCCTTGCAATATTCATTTGATTAGAATATTGTGATCGTTGTTAATCAAGCAATTATCATTGCTACATTATTTTATAAACTCTTGTCTATTTAACAACCCCTTTATTCGAATATTTGGATCGTTGTTAATCAATCAAATATCAATATATAATATTATTTCAATTTAAAACATATCTAACTTATAGAAGTGATTTAACGCAACAAATTAGGTTATTCGGTAATGGTGTACCGTCTGAAAGACGTCAAGGTGAACGAAGGACACCTGCCTCGAGTCCAGCAAGTGTGGCCGCCGTGAGGAGTAGCAGTTCGTCTCAACAGGTTCATCAACAGCAACAATCTCAACAACAGTCTCAACAACAGCAACAACAATGTCAACAACAGCAGCAACAACAACAACAACAACAACAACAGCAACAACAATCTCAACAAATAGTTGGTTCAAATCCACCAACATCACCTGGTTCACAACCACTAAGTCTACAGGAGCTCACCGTAAGGACAATCACCATGACGAGAGATCCACCTGACTCTCATCATGGATTTGGAATCTGCGTGAAGGGTGGCAAGGACGCAGGTGAGATCCGAAGTACCTTCAAGCTACCTCCGTCGCCGTACTTCGTGCCTCGAGAACGAGGTACTTTAACCCAAACCTTTTTTAAACAAAAAAATCAAAACTCTCTTCCTACTTTTCTTTAGGGTACTTTTTTATTTTTCTTATTTGTTGTCTGCCGTCATTATCAACCATTTCAATTAACGCTACCATTATTATTATTATTATTCATCCTCTTCTTCTTCATCATCTTCTTCCATTTTCCCATTTCTTTCTCATCCATTTTATTACTCAAAGTTTTCATCTATTTCGGTTCTCTCTCTCTCTCTCTCTCTCTCTCTCTCTCTAATTTTTGTAACTCTTTACTTTTTAAACAATTCTTTTCTTTCCTTTTCTATTTTTTCTGTTCTTTTTTGAACCTTTTTAATCCCTTCCGTTTTATTCCACAATTTTTATTCTCTTGTTCTCCTATAATAATGTCGGATCTCTCTTCTGTGTGTGTGTGTTTTTTTTCTTTTCTTTTCTTTTCTTTTCTTTACTTTATCTTTGCGTGATAATATCGGACGGAGGTAAGCTTTTTCTTTTGTACGATTAAAACGAGTAGCAATTTTGGAAAATACGGTTAATACAAAAGAATACTTTTATCTTAATCTCGTTTCTGTTAGATTCGTTTTTAAGTTTCTTTTTACGATAACCTGACTGGATCCTCCATCTCCTTCAACGATCTCACGTTTTCTCTTTTCAATCTTTTTCCAAAATTTTCTTTTCTTTTACGGTATTTTTATCAAAAAAATAAAAAAAAAATAAAATTAAAAAAAAGAAAAAAAAATCATTAATTGTCAGCAAGAGAAAACGAATGAGTAGTTGCAATTGAAAAAGGTGGAAGAAGGGGTTGAACAGAGAAAAAGAGAAAGAGAGAGAGAGAGAGAGAGAGAGAGAGAGATAACGTTTTCCGATCATTAAGCGTTTCCATCTGGCCGATGACGAACAACTTTTGCAAGAGAGAGAGAGGGAGAGAGAGAGAGAGAGAGAGAGAGAAAGTGCAAAAGAGAAAGAGAGAGAGAGAACGAACGAAAGAACGAATGAGAGAAAGAGAAATTCGACGAGTAAGATTTTGTACGATTGGTAACACTGATCATTTGCTTTTTTTTATATTATTTTCTTTCTCTCTTTTCCATGTCTTTCAATTGGTCCAAATTATTCAAAATGCACACCTCCCCCCCCCTCTTTTCAATAGTAAGAGATAAAGTAAATTTTGGATATATGAACATTTGTTGGATAAATGTTTGATATAAAAAGTAACCAAAAGAAAAAAAATGGACTTTCATTGAAATGATCAGATGATTTGATGTATTTATCGATGTGTAAGATTTCTTTTTTTTTTTAACAGGGGAGTGGTTGGTAATACAATTAGTATCATTTGAAATTCGTGACTACCATTGGTTGTGAAAATAAAAAAAATAAAAAATAAAAAAAAATAAAATAGAAATCTTTTGAAAAGATTCCACAACATTTTGTGAACGAACGAACGAACGAACGAACGAATGAACGAACGAGATGTTTACTTGAATTCGATATCGAGTTTTTGGGGGTTGGGGTGGGATTAGGGGTGGGGGTTTAAAATGTTGTTGCTTTGCAGTAAAATCATCGTCATCGTTTCCTCTCGAATTTGCCTTTAACTTTATCACGCTATTCTTTATTTATTTTTTTATATTTTTTTTTTTTATTCGTCGCACGTTGTTTCGACGAGTAAAAAAAAAAGAAAAAGAAAAAGAAGCTTATTCTCCTTCGTGCTTGTCTGTGTGTGTGTGTGTGTGTATGTTTTATTTTTTTATTTTTCCTCACGTCAAATAAATAAAACCGCTTATCGAATTTTTCAAGTTGTCTTCAAATAGTTCGAATTATTTTGTGGGATCTTGGAGAAAGAGGATAAAATCAAAGTTCTCGAGAAAAGAGATTGTTTAAATAATAAAATGAATTTGTTGTTGTTGTTGTTGTTAATGTTGAGTAAAACGATTTAAAAGTACTTAATTATAAATGTATTTATGTCATATATCGTTTCATCGAAATATACCATAAGTCAACATGCGTGTTTTTCTTTCTTGCTTTCTATTTCGCTGTACCAGATGTGCAATCAGGTAATTCATCAATGATGTGTGTGTGTGTGTATGTGAGAGAGAGAGAGAGAGAGAGAGTATGTGAGTATGTTAAAGAAAGGGGACAGTGAAAATGTTTAACAAAGAGAAAGAAAGAGAAAGAGAGAGAGAGAGAGAGAGAGAATGAATCAAAATATACTTTCTTTTTTTTTTTAAACCACCGTAAAATTCGAACGAAGTCAATGATTGGTTGTCAATGGTTGACAAATTTTTGGTTTTTTTTTTTTTTTTTTTTTAACTAAAAATTTATTGAATTTTATGAAAACGTTCAAGAAAATCTGATATTTTATTCAATTTGAAATAGAATTATTTGAATATAGTTGGTTTATTTGTGTCATAACTTTGTTTTTTTTTTTTTGTTATTAGTGTTTTAAACAATTTTAGAATTTATTTTTTTTGGGTATTTTTTTTCACAACGATTCAAAATTCGTGGTCGTTTCAATTTCCCGGTGGTTTTTTCGAGTATTCGATATAAACTCGCGCGTCACTAACGATCGATGTCGCATGAAGGTGTTATGCGCAGATCGGTCTTAAAACTAGATGGCGACTGTCAGAAGAGAGAAAGAGAAAGAGAGAGAGAGAGAGAGAGAGAGAGAGAAAGAAAGAGAGTAAGAGAAATTGTAAAAAGCTCAATTTAATATTTATATATCAATTATAAAAATAACAAAATGTTTCTTTTCACGTTTGTCTTGGGTAAAAAAAAAATAAAAATTTATAAAATACATTTTTATTCCTGTCAAATAAACTGGAGGGGTAAAATGTACGTGTATATATTAGATGATGGGGTAGAATGGGGGTAAGATAGTAGCATTTACAAATATGATTAATTTTTTATGATATTATCATTTCATTGATTTAATTTTTTAAATTATTATTTGTCAAATTAGTAAAGGTTTTAGTTTTCTTTTTTAATTGCATCTTTAAATATAATTTTTAATTTATTAAGGATTTAATTTATTAAAAATATTAATTTAGAAAGGGTGAAGATATTATTTAATAAAGTATAATTATATTAAATTATTAAAGTTGTATTAATCAGAAAAAAGGATTAATTTAAATAATATAATAGAAATATTATAATAGGAAATAATTCATATAAAATTACTAAATATATATGATAAATATTTAATATATTATTATTATTATTATTATTATTATTATTATTATTATATATTTTATTATATATTATTTTATTAATTATTATATATATTATAGAATATATAATATAAATTATATATTTTATTAAATATAATATATATATTTATATAAAAATATATATATAATAAAAATAAATTAAAATATATAAATTAAATATAAATTAAATAAATTTATAATATTAATATAATATTTATTATATTAATAAAATAAATATATACAAAATTATATTTTATATATATTTTATTAAATTTTATATATATACAAAATATATAATAATATTTATATATTAAATATAGAACAGATATAATATTAATATTATTCTATTAATTTTATTGAATTAAATTGAATTAATAATATGAATATTATTTAGAGTTTAGTTACTTTAATATAATATATTCGAACATATTGTAGTTAGAATTTTGAAAAGGCGGCCAAGTTCGAATTGTAAAGCATCGATAATCGAATATCAGTAGTTAGACGGACGTGCGTCGATGGGTACGTGTATGGTACGTGTACGGTAATATCCAAGCAAAATTGAGTTGTAATGGAGTTCCCACTAGTTCGATGACAACAACGAACATAAATGTCAATAAATTATGATACGCGTTTTACGTCGTTTTCATTTTCAATTTACACTCATTTTCAAATATATTCCTTTTACATATTGTGATTCAATTGTTATAAATTAAAAATTATAACATTTATCAAAAAATAATATTACGGATTATTTATTTAATTTTTCTATCTGATTAATAATACAAATTATTTAATATATTTCCTATATTTTATGAAACATTTCTCTTTATTATTATCAAAAAAAAAAAAAAACTTTGTGAAGTATTTCACGTATTGGAAATTTCTACGTTACTTATCGGCGAATACAATAATTGTTTGTTTTTTTTTTCCATCATTTATTTTATTTTTTATCCCCTATACAATTTTATCTCACGTAAATGAAATTTTATTTATGCCGAGGCTAGTCGAGCGTTGAATAATTGTCATGGTCCATACGATAAAACTTAAACGAAGCGTATAATTGAAATTCAATTTTTGTTCTTTTCATTCCTATATTAAATTTATTCGAACAATTATTTTGTTCACAAAAAAAAAAACTAACTTTTTTTACAGTAATGATATTATTATTATTATTATTATTATTATTATTATTATTATTATTATTATTATTATTATTATTTTTAATATACTTTATTATATTATATTTTCTTTCTCTCTATTTATGGTCGCCATCTAATCTCGCGAATTCGCCAATCATCAAACTAAACGATCAATCTAATCAATCTTTTTCAAACACGGTAATCGAAGCATCGGCTTCTAGAATTCAAGCACGTTTGCACATTTAGTTTTTTTTTTGCATGATCAATATTTATGTTAGTGTTAGATATATTCAAATGTGATTAGAATAATTGTCAATTGTATGTGCACGCGTGTATATAGAAAATCACTTGATGTATAAAACAATACAACACATTTTTATCTTTAAGAAGAATTTTCTATGAAATAATTCATTATCAAATTTACATTTGTAATAAATCATACACCTTGTATATATATATATATATCAATTATTAATTGATTGAAAAATATCTAATCTTACGAATGAAACAATGTAATTCACGTGTACTTATCATAGTAAATTCATCAATGGATTCTAATTTACATGCTCATAAATTCTACCGTGTTCTAAGACAAGCTTTTGATCATTGATGAATTATTCAATGTTCTAAGTAAGATAAAACGTGAATCATTGATTAATTATTCTGCAAACATACTGAAATATCGTTGAATCAATATAGGCATACTCGTAAATCATTGATCATTCCACAAAACTAATAATCATAAATACAATAGTCAAGTAAAGTGTAGACTATTTTTATATTCGTATTTGATAATGAAATATTTTCTATTGTAATCGTTGATTATGGATTTTAACACAAATGGAAATCAAAACGTTAAATTAGGATTTGTTTTTTTTATTTATTATTTGTAACTACACAAAATAATATATATATATATATATATTTAATATTATTATTATATTATAAATATATAATATTATTAATAATATATAATATTATAAATATATATAATATTATTAATAATATATAATATTGTTAATAATATATATATATATATAAAATATTATATAATTTATAAG